ATATATATATATATCCAGACAATGGCAACCTGTACAGAAACTTACTGAAAATCTCAAGTACACCATAGGACGATAAACAAGCAAAGTTCAAGTCGGTTTCTTCTTGTCGACTTATTTTCTTGTTTCGTTGCTTGACTTTTTGGTTAGTTGGTTCGATTTCTCTTTAGTTTTTTTGTCAATTGCTTGGTCAACAGAAAGATTAATGTTGGATGAAAGGATGGTGGTGCGTTTTTACCTTTTACTTCAGGCAATACCTTCATCCCCTTTGCGGGACTCTCCTTTTTTATTTCTACGTCAGATCAACTTTATATTTTTCGCACGCGTTTATTCACCTAACAGTAACTTCAGTTGTCCCTATTTGCTACATTCGTTTTTCGCGCTTTCTCGTTGTTGACCCCTTGTTGCCCCGCACATTGTGCAGCGCTGGCGGTAACGGTATATCGTTCGTCAAAAGTTAGCGATACACAACAATGCCGGTTGCCATACGTACGCACAGACACACGCTCATACAACGACGACGACGACGACGACGACGCAAGGAGGACGCCTGCTTCCGAAGATGGAAGTATTAGTTGTAAGATTACTGGTAGTAGGAGTAAGAAAAGCACTCGCTACTACCGTTGCACTTCAGTGACAGTCGCTAGTATAATGGCTGGGTAGTGCTAGCGAGTGTGCTCTGGGTGGGTACGGTAAGACCGAGACAGGGCGTACGGGGGTAAGCTACAGGATATGTAGGCTGTGAAGGTCCGTTCGACCGTTGCTTGTATCGATCGTTACTGTTGATGGTTGGCTTGAGAGGTGGAAAACAAAAAGATTCGGGTGGAGCAGCAGCAGTCGCCGCCACCGCCGCCGTCGCCGTCGCCGCGCGCCCGACCGTGTCCCGTGCGCTTCGATGATATCAGCGGCCTCTGCTGAGGCGTGGGCCAAAGTGAGTCTTGGCTGCCAGCTAAAACTGGGTAGTTCGCCTGGCCGGTGCCTGGATCGCCGCGTGTATGGACAAAGGTCGTCGGCTGCTTCGCAGTGCCCTTGTTTGGCTCCCGTTATTTTTTTCGCTCGTTGGGGAACTTGATCTTACGGAATGTATACAAAACAGTCCCTTGCAAGCCATACATTTTTGCTCATTCGCGGTACTACGGTGCTCATCGTAGCTGACTTGCAAAATCAATGACTAGCTACGTTATAATATGCAGTCAGATCACTTGTGGCAACTACTGAGCTTGAATTTTCGTCCCGATTTGTGCTTCGGAGCTTCCGTTAGTTTTACTGCGCACGTAGAGATGGACAGTTCAATGTCAGACTATCTATGCTGGTTCTAGTCGCTGCTTTCTACCATTAGTGTGTCTGGTCGATGAACGGGTAACACAACAGGAAGGGGGTGCATTAGCTATCATCAGTGGCTTACTGAAATAGGTTCTACCTCTAGCACATACTAAAGGTCGTCATTCTAGTCTACCGAAATGGTTCTAAGATAGAAGAGCTAGCTTAACTTCTACAAACAGATGCATCTCCGCTGAATTCTTTCTTCTGAGCAAGCATTCTATATGGGTAGAGACAAGTCAGGCTCGATCAAAGAAAATACTTGTTTTAAGTCGATGAATGATCCTTGGAAGCTTCGTCAAATTGCACTTAGATAAATAGTAACATTGAAATTAAGTACGAAAAATGTTACCTTCTAGAGTGCAAGACCATCCTTGGATGGATAATTACAAATAGGTTTAATTAATGAGAAACTAAATGTTCTAGAGCGCAAAGATAGGATTTTAAAAGCCGTCACGAGGTATTTTTATGTGGAACGCTTATTGAAACTGGTTAGAAACTGTAGCTGACTGTATCATTTTTACACGTTCCTGGCTTAAATTACATAAAATTTAACCCAACAGGTAACCCTTCTAGCTTGAACTCCTACTTTGAAAGTACGATCCCCTAACGTTAAGTATTTTCGACTGATTTCTACTCTACAGCGCACTTTATAATTAGCATCCCAATTACAGGAGTTTTATTACAAAATGAGTGACCACCCGCAGCGGTAGCAGGAATCGTAAGCCGCGATTCCTGCTAACCGTCGTTTTCTCGCAGATTCTGATTTACCAATTTTTGTGGTCGTTGACGTTCATGGCGTAGGTTCGATGTTGCTTGTTAGCTGCCTTTTCTGCGCAGAATTCAAAATAGCGCGCCAATAGTTTTTCTCTGCCAGTGGCGCTTTAGTCGTGAGCGCTCATCGTATCTTGCGCTCAGCTGACTGTTGAAAAACAACAAATTCGTTTTGCGTTCGGTGGTTCGGTAGTGATAGTGTGGTACCAGAAGTTCGTTCAGGGCTGGCTGTTCGAACAGTGCGCAGCAGCTACCCATACAGCGATAACAGAGAAAATACAAATGTGCAGTGGCATCGCCTTCAATATATTAAACAATCGACGGTGCGCTGAAAAAACTATGTAGCCATCCTCAAAGCGTCCCAAACAGGCTGTTTTTATGTGAATCAATTGTGCTTAATAGTGGAGAGGCAATTTGTCCACGTGAGACCAAAGTTAAAAGATAGAGTTCGAGACGTTCGTTTCTGATAATCTCTTAATGTACTTCAACGATGGAGGCCGGCGACATATCAAAAAAGCATTTAAGGTACACAAAAATGTTTTGTTCATTCGCGTGGTAGGTACGAGTAATCTGTGAAACGCGTTCCACGACTCGACTAATAAATAATACCGTAAAACGACGGAAGTAGTCTTTATCACTTTTGGCAATTAGTAGAGACTGCTGAAGTCGATTTTTATCCGTGGATTCAGTTTAGGGGTGTTGACTATTATTAAGTACAGCAGAAGAGTGCAAGAAAAATTTCATTATAGACAAAGTGTTTCAACATAATTTAGCCTTTAAGATAAAGGTTTTGTTACTTTACATTGATGAATGGTTAAATCGTTTCTAAAAAAAAAACGTGAGTCAGCAGCATACGTATATCTCATGATTATAAGAGTTACTATTGGCCTGCAATAACTCACGTATGAGTTGAATAGAAAAAAGGCATCGAACTACTTTGAGATTTAGAAATTCGAAGCTTACTAGGGTGTTATGACAAAGTTTCGTTTAAACTTTGGTCTTATTTCTTGTTTACCGTCTCAAAGGTTACTTACTATCGCAGACAAAGAAGCTCAAAATTTTTACACAACCTGGACTCTTAAACAAAACACGCTTAAAAAAGCATAAGCTAGGGCAGAAACCAAATCCATTCATGCATTTTTTTTTGCAGAAGAATTAAAGTGCTTTTTGCGCCAATCACAAATGGTTGGTTTAAGACTATGCTTGCTCTATTGAAAAAAATGCATCCAAATTGTTCATCAATGTTAAGTCCATGTAGAAATCTATACTATAAATTGCGCGCTTTTGGAAGGGTTCTGCCGTGTTTTTAAACATGTTATTCCATTAACGTCCGCGAGACAAAAGTTATTATCATTCAAGTATCTTACTTAAAATGCTTGAATAATCGAGTTGTCCAAGACACCATTTGCGTGTATTTAACACTCACTATAGAGTTTATATTGACCGCTGCGGGAACTACTAGGGTAAGCGTTTAGATTAATTTGGTATTTGATGAGTTGTCGGTGTTCTCATTATTTTATTGCTATGAACTGATGTAGGCTGGCTTATGGTATGAACTTTGCAATCATAGTAGGAACGATCTGTACAAAATGTGTATGCATTTAGGAAATGACTGCATTTAGAAAAAACTGATTTAGGAAACCAGTTTTTTGTATCAAGGACATGAACTACATTCTAAATTACTCATTTGGCTTTAAGTAAGAAGTTTGATATTTCGATAACAATAAGTTCAATAAACTAACAATAAGTTCAATAAACTGTAACGATGAAGTGAGCTGACATATATTTTTATTTTGTGGCTTTTCAATTTGTAGAGCCTTATGCGACGCGGTTCGACGGGCAGAAAGCTCTCAGGATGACATTCTTTTACGACAGCGCGTCAAGGAATACGCTGAGAAACTAATGTTCTCTTCGCCATTAGAATTTGGTCGTCAAGCCGAAGATATCCTTTGGAAAAAGGCATTTTATGAGCCTGTAGCCCGCTTTAAATCTAAGGTAATTTTATTAATAAAACAGTTAATCGACAAAAGTTCTTAGTTCGAAAAAGTAGGTCATATTTCTATGAACGGGGATGCTGGTACCTTTTTTTTAGTGCACTAAATTTTCACTTACTAATAGAAAGAACTTTTCGTATGTTACAATTTTAATGGAATTAAATTGTGCTTAGTTGAAAACTTAAGAGGGAGGCTTGTCGCGTAAAGTATCTCAATTCTCTCTTATCTAGGTTAATGCAGATAAAAGAAAATGCATATTTTGCACACTTGATAATATTACAGCGGGACCAGATGAGTCCACTACAACAGCGGTTAATCGAGCAGCTGCTCCTTTCTGGTCTTGGAACATATCAGCAAGTGCTTTCCAGATTGGAACTTGACTTCGGCGCCCCACTCATCGGGATCATTGACGCCGCTCTCAGGTTTGTTAGCTACTGCCGAATAAATATACCCATTTCATTAACTTTTGTTGATCAGAATGCTCACCCATGAAAAGTTTCACAGGCTGCTTTGTAATCATGTTTACACTGTGATCATTTGATTTAAAATTAACTTACGTCATCGACTGATGACGTATTTTCAAAAATACAAAATGTTAAATCTGCAGAAAACAGTATTTCGATAACAATAAATGGCTTATTATTTTAAATGATATATTTCGCAGTCGGGTTGGCTGGGATGTTACGATTGGGCGCAGAGTAAACGAATTTCCGGTGGAGCAACATAGTGAACTCCGCGAGTGGGCCCTTCAGTGTGCCTACCGATGTCTTCTTGCGCTTGGCGACCTCTGTAAGTATTTTTTATGCATTTTTCGCTACTACTATGGCCGCACAGTGTGAAAAGTGTATGTTGTGTAGGGAAAGAATTTCGTATAATAATCAATTTACTTGCTACATAACGTAATACACTAAAAATCTGCACAAACAGTTCAGCTCCCATTTTAACTGAAACTAAGTTTACGTCATTAGTTATTGTAATCAGGTTTACACATGTATAGTACCAAAGGTAACCAAAAAGATTTGTTTTTGCAAACGCCTTGAAAACATAAGTCGTGCTTGAAATTTAGTGTGATTAAATTAATAATGCTAGAACACGAGTTTTCATTATCTCCAAAATTCCTCTTAGCCCGTTACCTTCACGATTTATGCGGACAAGGAACAAGTGGTGTCTCTCCTCATCGATCGGCGGCATTCCGTTTTTATCATCAGGCCGTCCTGGTTCGCTCATCTCAGGTAAGTGGAGCGAACAGCTGTGCAGCAGATAATCTGCTGCACTAGTTCTTGCATCTGTCCAAATACAAATAATTTCTTAGGGCTTTCAACTGATGCGCACAGACCATGTGTTTAGTTTTGACCATAATGGTTAAGCATCGCCCTTGCGTTGTGAACTGTAAGGACTGCCACCAACTAAAAGAAGACATTCTAATGCCGTGGTTATTCTGCATGTTTGTTGCAGGGACAACCTTATAATCAGTTGGGGACACTGACTAAAGGGGAGCTCGCGGGCTTGAAGGAAACATACTTCTATTTTCGATGTTTGCTTAGCTCAGAACCATTTGCAGGCGCGAAGAATAATCTGAACTTGTTATTCGACAAAAATCGCACCGCTTTAGTCATGAAAGTGAGTAATTGAGTTACAAATTTTATGTCGAAGGTAAAGCAATTCGAGCAAAAGAATATGAATCTTAATATATGCAATAGAGTGAAACAGTCTTGGGTACTAAATTATAGGGAGGTATGCCAACTGGCGGTTGGGAAAACAGTATTCGCGCATTACTTTCGGTCTCGGAACTACTGTGGCAGGGGGAAGTCCCGAAGCCCACCATGACAGCGTTTGTTATAAGGTCCCTCCAATACGACCAGCCGCTTCGTCGTGATGCTCAGTTCTACGCATTGCTTCTACTGTTAGCGCTAGACCGGAAACTCACTAGAAATAACAGGACAAGAAACGAAAAGGAACTGGTAAGCTGTTAGGCTCTATCTGTGATGGAGAGGCATCACATCAGTGCTTAGTCGAATTTAAGTGTTTAATTATATTAAAATGTTTTTAGTTTGTCACAAAATCGTACTTGTATTTAACACGCTGTAGGCTCGAACATTCAAAAGCTTTATATAGCTTCATGGTTCACTGCTCCAAATACCAACGACGCATTAATTTTGAACTCACTACGATCAGTTATGATTCAGAAAAGTCACTTTTTTTACGTGAAATTTATGCTTTTTTAGTCGGCCTCATGGAAAGTTGTGCGCGATTTACTCTTTGCGTTGGGTGGCCGACTCATTCAGGAACTGCATCATTGCCTTTGCCTGCGTACCTGCTCGAAACATCCCTTCAATGAGATACGCGAAGTCAACCATTCCTTAGTCATCATGGACGGACAACAGAACAATTGCATTATTCCAGCGGGTCAGAAAAATGGATCTGTAAGTGCTGCTTGGCCTTTATCATAGACCTAAGTCAGTTTGTACAAACAATAACGAAACATTTATTATCGTACCCTTATGTAACTCTAATCATGTGTCACCTGATAATCAAACCCACCCTTTGCTTTTTTTCTGTAACCACATGTGACATGGTAGTCAGGTGATTCCGGCTCGGGGAGCTTTAAACGCCTTTCATCAAAGCCCAAAATTGTTCGTCGGAGGAGAGCATTCGGCGAGGGTGATTCGGAAGACGAAGATGATAATGGAGGACGAGGTGCTGGTGACGGCGGTCCATATGCAAATCGGACCGGTGAACCAGATTCCGACGATGATTTGCAAAGCCAAGTGCAAGAAACAGAACAGCTTAAGCTTAACGGCGGCTCAACGAAGCAAATGAATGGTCAAACAAAGGACAAGGCACCGGATGATGGAGGTGACGATGAATCATCGAGTCAACAAATCTAACCCTGTGAATTTAAATACGTACTGTGCATAACCAGTAAAATAACATTATTGTACTTATTTTCAGGTGAAAGTTCTGATGATTCGATGTCTACTGGTTGGTCGAGTAGTTCGGATGAGGATGACGAATCTGAGGACGAAACGAGTGACGACACGTTTGATCCACACACTAACGACGAGTTTGATAGGAGAGCATCCCAAAGATCTGATTCTGGGGGTAGAGATAAAGCAAATGGAGGAAAGCTGCCTTCGCCGCGTCTGTCGCCGTTGTATACGCTAGATAAGGCGCTCAGCTGCAGACAGCTCGTCAAACAGGTTAGCACTGGCCGATTCAGAATTCAGTGGTAGTAACGTATGTGGGACTGTTATTTAATATAATAATAATTAAAAAAAAATATGTCAAGCTGTTCAGTGTGCTAACGTTTAATTAATAATTTGCCTTGTTATTTCGTTATGTAAGGCGTTAGTCCCCATCAAACATGTGCAATATTCGTAGGGTTGATCCAAAAAAGCTTGTTGCTACGAGTTCTTACTTGAAATCAATTGGCCTGTCCGCAGGTGGCCTCGGAAGAACTTCTACCCGCAGCAAAGCTCTTCTTGGATTGGTTGGTGCTCTTGTCAAATGACGCTCGGAAAGGCAAGAATAGTGAAGATGATCAGGGCAAGAAGGAAGGACAAACTCCCTCTGGGCTTCCGTTACGTGTTCTTAAATACGTAGCTGACCTAGCTAATTTATTGTGCGTGCTTAAACATAGAGTAATGCATGGATCAGGTTAGTTGTCATTTTCTAGAGTAAAATATGTAATAGTCTGCTTCGTTTTTAATAGTAGAAATAATACTTAATAAATATTGTGCTACATGTTCAAGTAGTCGTATCATGCTGATAACATTAGCTTGTTGATCCTATGACCTGCAGACAGTACCATCGAGCATGTCCGGAATAGACTCAACGAACTATCCGCCCAAAACGCTGTAAGAAAATCAGACGGTAGCAACGAGACGACACTCACAACCGATACAAAGGATTCATATAGAAAGGAGTTTATTCTTCCAGAGGATATTCATTTCTCGCTAAAGGCTTCCCCAGCTTTAAGGACATCAGCAATCTGCAAAAAGTCAGAAGAAAATGCTGAACTGATCCAGGTTGAGTATGATTGGATACTCAGCTGGGAGGAACGATCAAGTCTTGCAACTGCGGGCCAACGAGCCGTCTATAGGTTTGTTATCCATGGGGTTTACATTCGCTTTTCGCGAAGAGGAGGGTAACAGCATGGATTAATGTCAATGTAGGAATTCAAATCAGCCATGAGTGATTTCATATTTCCTTAGTAGTGACGAAAAACTTAAAAAAAATTACAATAAAATTTTTATCACTATTAAGCAGCTTTTCCGCCAGTATCTGCCTTGATCTTTACCAATTTGAATAATCAATTATTCGTCACAACAGAATGTTCTTGATCGCGGACCGAGCGGCCGATATTTGTGAACAGTTGGTGGGTGCCACTGTAGTCAAAGGAGAGAAGATAACCTTTGAACAAACACTGCAAGAAAAAATTTCAGAATGTATTTCGGTAAGTTGGATTGCTAACTATATTAATTTTTTACCTTTTTACTATATTTAACTATATTTTTAATTTAGGGTTTAAAATAGTTTAGGGTCTGAGAAAAATTAACGACTAATCACAATCATAGTATTTTAGCATAGTCATTTGCTGTTTTTTTTTGTTTAGACTCAATTAACCTCTTAACATCTAAAACGGTAGCTAAGATGGGATTTAACTCCAGCCGAAGAAATAATGCGTCGGTATATTTTATCGGTATATATATTCTTTTATTAACTCTTATAACTGGGTTTCCGCGTACATGTTGCAAACGCCGTTCACTTGTGGAAACAAATCACATCAGTACGTTACTCTGTTGTGGTATCCACCGTCTGCGATGGTCGATATTGTTGAAATGCTTACAGTAACGTTCTCCGCAACCAAGCTTATTAATTGTTTATTACCGACGAAGTGTTAGTTTTAAACGTAATTTCTATTATAAAGTACAATCAGTAATATACATCCGTTTTAAAAACACGTAGATACTCTGTAGATCCTAACGGTACTGGATATATAATATCGATAAAATGCCACTAGACTTCTCGAGCCCACTTTGCTTTAATAATATACTGTGCGATTGGTAAACTTGAAGTGTAGCTGATACAAATATTGTGGCGTCCATTAACGGTTGCTAGGGGTTTCTCAAAAGGAGACAGTGAAAAACATGTTTTCTCACAGTGTGGTAAGTTTTGCGGAGGTGTTTAGATATTTTTTCTCGCCTTCAAGCTTCTGTAGGCGTTGGAATGCATCCAGAAGATGAGCTAATTCGTTTTGTTGAGTTGCTACCTCCGCGAGAATTTCAAGTGCTCGATCGAAACACTGCTTCGAGGTGCGCAAAGAACTGGGTATCTGTAACGTATTAAAAAAGCAACGCTAATAATTTAGTATCTCGTTCTACATTTGTAATATATGATGGAAGCCATAGAAGTAAACCGTGTATGCACTAGTATTAGCATAGGAAGTTACTTACAAGAACGCCAAACCAACGTAATGGATCGCTAGGTGTCCGGTTTTCGGCGGTACTGCTGTTTGAACTGGCACGATGATCAGATGAATAGCCGGAAATAGATGAACCTCTAGCTATGTTTCCATTTAGTCTATCGACATCAGTGGCGTCGCTGGCTGTTGTCTCAAGCGACGAGCGAGCTGGCGTACCCGGATCAGAGCACTCAAGGGAGTCTCGTTCCATCGAACCTATGCTACCCAAAGACGGCACCTATGGAAATATCAAGACCCCAAGACCCATTTTAACGCTGAATTGTCCTAAATAAGTGAATGGGGCCCATTGATTTCATTGTTTTCTAGAAACAAGTGGAAATCAAGAAACAAGTTGAAATCAGCTTTACAATCAATAGCTTTAAAAAACAAGCTATTGAATTAGATGAAAATTCTAGTGTTTACCTGTCGTTGTCGAAGTTGAGCATTTTCATTGCTTTCTGGATCAACCTCCTCCTGACCGTTGTGCCATCCATTTTTATCTTTTATGTCAGACGAGTAGTTCCGTTCGTTGTGTGTTCTTGACTCTGTCTGGCTTTTTATTGAGTACGCTTTATTGGCAGTTTCTAGATGAAACCTCGTCAAGTCCTCACGGAAAACTTTGCCAGTAAGGTTTTGCTCTGGGGTGGATACCGTTTCAAGGCTTACCCGCTTCGTCGCCTCCATATGCGCCAGATTGAACGAAAGGGACGAAATAGCCGACCTAAAAGGAATCGAGTGATTAATGTGTTAACTGTAAAAAAAAATGGTTATATATTAAACATATGATATTCAGTATTCATATCGATCGCAACAAAAGTAAAAGAGAATTATTAATTTCTCGGGTAAAAAGCTAATAACATGACTACACATCCTTCATAAAGATAACGAAATGCAGGTGAGATAATTATCTGCACCTTGGTCCATTTGTAGCGTATCTGGCTCTCGCCAAATCAATCATTCCAGTCTCCATATACTGGTTCAGGTCATTTCGAAGCGCGATTATCGAGTCCAGTTTCTCTATTGAACGAATCAGCAGATCATCGAGGGCCACTTCATGTTCGGTTATTGTCGATGGTGATAATAATGAAAATGAGGCCATCTTGCAAGGCGTTCTGGTAAGCTATTAACCTTTCCTATCTACTCAGCTGTTGCTTCTATGGACACTCCTCTAACAATCGTACACGACTGGATTGCGCATGTATATCTCAAGTTTACGTAGTACACACTGGTTCGTCCAAATCGAGACTCTTCCAATTACTGCAACAATATTATCTCTGTAGCAATCTTTTCCTGCCACCAGTCACACCACCAATCAGTATAGGACCAACGAACCTATGCTCAGTATGGATTCGTATGACCAGTGCTGCAGAAAAAACAGACAAGCAATCACACCGAGCACACTGTTGCAGCGGTGGTTGACGCACGCCTCTAGAAATTACATGGGAACGACAATAAAAACGATTTCCACGTTGCTCTGCCCGACAATAAATTCCACCAGTCTTGTATAGTTATGGCCAAAGTGCACAGAGTAAGCGCACTTAGTGTTTTTTCGGCCTATTGGAAGTGACTTGCTGATATGAAGTCATCGATGCTAGTGATATTTTCATGGCTGCCGCCCGGTCGCTATGTATCGATGAGTATTCACGCTTGATGCTGCTAAAAGCGGTCGCAAATGTTGCCGTTGATGGCGACGATGCGAGCGTGGCGTTGTTGAACAGATTGCCGTGGTTAGTCAGCTGACAAGCGTCGTCCTTTGCCGTTGCTGCTTATGGGCGCCATGTTTGTTATGACGATCTGTCGTTGGCCAGCGGAAAGGGTCGTCTGTAATCACAATCCAGGCACAGGTGGAGAGAGAGAGAGAACAACAAGACTATACAGCAAACGGAAAGGTTCGCGCAACAGGTGGTCGGCGCATGATTTTATTTATCTAGTAGGCGAGGGAACTCAAATTTCATTAAAAATAAACTAAATCCATTGAACGTATGTAAATTATTTTTCGCTTGCGTAAGCTTCGTCGGTTGAACGTTGATCTTCCTTTCCTATAGTACAGCTATCAGATATAGCTATCTCGCAATAATTTTTACCTAGTATCTTAGGCTAGTTAAATACTTGCCTGGTTAAAGAGGGACTTTTAACAATGAAGGCTCCATTATCGGCTTATTAAACAAATGTATGCTTCCAAATTTATTCAAAATAATAGTTTGTTTTTTTCTTGCTCATTGGTCAATATATATACAGTAGCCTAATTCAGGTGCTGCTGGATACGAATTTAATTCATATGGCGCGTTGTTAGAAAAAGCAAAATTCGTTATATGCCTTTAATTTTGTACCTTATTTGAACATACCTTACTACTTGATGGATTGGAGTACGGCAATACTGGATCACTGAGTGTATTTGTTATCACTAAGCAAATTTGTTTATTAACTGAAAGTTATTAATAAGTAGTCATAAAACGTACTCTTTCCGTACTACAGAAAGAAGCTACGCCCTTAGCGCCAACAGCATCAGGAACAGGTGGGGCCGGGCGGCAAAATCCACGAGGGCGCAATGGACGGGGGAATAATGCTCGAGGAAATCGCGGCGAACGCGGCGCGGGTGACACTGAGAAACAACAAGTAATGATGAAATCGATGGCTCACGCGTGGCTGAGACACGAAGTTGAAGGTCTCGAAGAAAGGCTTGAAGGATCGGCAAAAAGAAAAGGTTCCTCACCAATGACGGATTTAAATGGAATTACTACGGGTGAAAACATCACCCAGTATGGGTAAGTGCGAGCAAATAATATCAGTAAAATCCATAATATATTCCTTCTGTGAGCGTTTTATGAAGGCTGTCTTTGTCTTAAAATAAGACACATTGCATTAGTATGTACCGTGAACATAATGGCCTTGTCTTGAGCTTAGCCAGTTAGGCCCAGTTAAGCATCGCCGTTTTAGCAAGTTTTACCAATTGAGTTTTAATATGTTCCAGACGCTGTGGCGGAGGAGGCCCTAACGGTGTGGGAACGGCCGTCGGATTTAATGGTTTGCTGGTGACAACCTCACTGAGTCCTTTTGTCGTCGTAGATTCATCAGCGCTTTCCACACGCTTGCCTGCTGTACGCACTATAGCCTTACAAAAGAGGAGCATGCTGATTGTACCAACCTGTGGTTAGTAAACGATTTTAGTAGAAGATATGGATTTTTCTGATCAATTTTGTAGCTGTCGCAAAAAGGGTCAGAGATTGTAATCTTATCATATGCGTTCATATATTACTGTCTTAGTAGCAGGTTGTCTACTCTTTTTCCTTCGATTTTCTATTGAACGTTTTGTTATATCTCGACATCGCTTTCAGTAATAAAAAACATTTGCTTATGCTTGAGTTCTGTTAACTTCGAATTGTTTCGTATGTTCTCCTAGTTGTAAGCCACCTAGATGAAATGAAGAAAAACGTAGCCCAAGCTCGAGATGCGACGCGATGGCTCGAAGTTGAAATGCGAAAAGGTTCTAGATACGTGAGAGTTCAAGGACCGGGAGAGGTAAGTTAGTCTAAGTTTATGATGGAAAAGGAACTGGCTGAGGTTGACTAATTCAGAAACGATTTGTATTTGACTTTTTCTTGTTTGCGATTTGCGTTTGACGTCGGCAGGCGAGCAAAATTTCTCTACTCAAATATCCCAAACGCAAGGATCGAGAAGCCTGGCATCTCTTCCAGCTGCTCGAGTGTTGCCACCATTTGGGCATTGGAGGGGCCACAAACCACGGAATTGCTGGAAGACATGGCAGACAGGATGGGTCAAATAAGAATTTTCGGTCTCGAGGCGAAGTCGGCACATTCCAAACTGGTGCAGTTCTTGTATCACTGCTTATTGCTAGATCCGAAAGCGATCTCCCTTCAAATGCGGCCACTCTTGCAGACGCGATCGGTAAGATGTTGTTTCATTTGTATGTGATAAAGAAAACGATATCGTCTTCGCTTACGTATGAGTTTGACTTAAGCTTATTTCAACAATAACTATTTGCGAATTCATGTTTTCATATGTTTCAGGTGTTAAACTGATCGACATTGATAACGTCGTTACAAAGGTGCCATCTGCTCGTCCCGTGAGCATTGTTAGTAAAAGCACGGACGTCATGGTGGTGGCATCTTCAAATGAAATTAGGACACCAGCATCTCCTTCACTTGCTCTTCCCAGTGCTTCTATTACTACGGCTGGCGCTACTGTCGTTGTTGGGGTTGACGGCGATTCGGGTCGCAGCAATAACGAGGCGCTACCGAAGAATGCCGGAGGATGAGGTTAAACAAACCCGACGATGAATGGCAACAACAAAGAAATGAAACTACTGGAAAGAAGCACATAATGCCAATAGCGCTTTCCTCAACCTGAGAAAACGGCCAAACAAGCATACACGTATGGGTCGGATATTTTCATCTCGAGAAACCAATGGTGGTACAAAGCCCTTCTTCGCCTATTAAGTCAATGAAATGAAGATCATGAAGATGCATGGGGTGCAGAGTGGCTAGCTAGCACGGTCAGCATACAAATAAGGATTACGATGCAACGATCTCATAGCATACATGTGAGCCGATGTTGGCGTACGTAACAAATGTCGCTCATAAACACTACCCCTCTGCCTTTTGATGAGTGCATATAGTACCGTGCTAAGTGCAACACGCTCATGATGCATCCGTTTTGAGATCAGCGACTTGGTGCACATCCAAAAAAAAACAACACCAAAAAGTAGAAACAAAAAAGCAAACGACTATGGTAGCCAGCGGAGTTGCCATATCTCGCTTTAATGGCAAACCGAGCACGTTTTGTAACAAAAAACTAGCTCAGTAACGCCGTCATGAACGAGGTGTTGCAAGAATGTCACTAGCGCTAACTAGCGACTAATATTTTCTACAACTCGTACGATATAATGACGGTAATCAGCAGCAGCTTAAAACATTGTTCTATGCCATTACCAATCAACAAAGGAGAGGGATTGATTGATGATAGCCGCCAAGTATGCGTGATGTTTTGATATAGGTGCTAAAAAACAAACCAACCATAATGTCCTGTTCTGAAATAACAATATCATCAGCACACGGCTGTGTTTTCCTATGTTCCTTTCTGAGGCCATTTGCCCAGTAAAATGGCAATTAGTACGAGCAGTTCAGCTGAAATCAATTCACAACGAAAAATAATGATTTGAAATTCTGGGTACTGGGTAGGCGAGCAGGTGGCTTATATTCGAGGGTTGGCTAAACTGCATTGTTCCTTCTCAAAAGCCGATCAGACCATTACAATTACATGCAACAAATACGTAATCAAAGCGTTCAAGAAACGAGTGATTATGAATTCGTGGTTAGATAGTAAGAGAAGGAACGATTACTCTGCATAAACATTTAGTTGCTATTATTGGTTGTAATAAGACACAATACAGGCAGGCAGATTATTGGTAGTAATAACAGAAAGGGGGATTCCGCTCTATAAAATGTTAAGATCGAAATTAATCGATGTCAGCGTAAAATTTAACAGGAAAAAACAAAGTGACATAAGTATGACAGTATTTGTAATGTGACCTAAGCTGGCTCAGGTTATATTGCACCACATCTTTCACCAAAACGATAATCGTACGTTGCAAAGAAGCTAAGAATTGACTTTTTTTTTACTTAAAACGATTTTTACAATACTACCAAGCCTATCATCGTATGTGAACGATAATGCGCCTTAAAAAACCTGACGCTTTAATCCCGCCTCCAGCGGTTAAAACGTGTTGAATTGTGAATCCTCAATACGTTGGTTGTCTTTACAAAAATGTGTTCTACAAATTTCAGGATAATGCTATATCTGAAGTGACAGCACTTTTTTCCACCACGTTGATCATATGGAATTCAAAAAAATCTAAAAAAATCTGGTCTGCTAAGAAAGATAAGCCCAGTTGACGGCGTGATTTGTATTTGGTTCGGTAGTCAATTGGAAATAAATTAAAATATCAAAATTGGAGATGTTTCTATAAATGTATATAAAGGATTATATACCTAATAAAATTGGCGGCCCATGTACTGTGATATTCTTGTGTAAGGGTCTACAATAAGATAACGACGAAGGACAGAAGTTTGTCTGGATATTTCTGCATGTACAATACCTCGTTCTGAAAAGGGGACTCGCAAAAAATTGGTATGCTTTTTTGCTTACATTACCTAATTACCCCGCAATCAAGCAGGCAGTCCAATTGTGAGGATTGAAAAAAATCGTTCTCGTTACATGTATGGTACATTCATTTTGTTTTACAAATAAACGTGTATTAACAGATGCTCTTAGGCTTCTTAGCGACAGATTTTA